CACTGGGTTATGGCTGAAATGTAGTTTTCTTGTGACTTTGGAACACCTTTGGGGCTTTGGCTTCTTTTTTTTTTTTTTTCTGCAGCTGCCTGCTGGGCAGTTCATATTAAACACCCTAGAATATCAAGTGATGAGGTGCAAGTAGTTGAGATAAAGCTTGGTTGGGGGGGGGTGCTTAGAATGTGACTGTATTTGGAGATAAGACCTTAAAAAGAGGGCAAAAGGTTAAGTGCTCTTTATGGTAGGATGTTAATCCAATTGGATGGTTTCACTTCTAAGAAAAGGGAGAGCATGCAAAGGGAAAAGACCATGGGAGGATGCAGGGAGCCAGAGCTTCAAGGAAGAGACCTCAAGAGAAACACATTGACGTCAGACATCAACGCAGAACTTCGAGAAAGCAGATGAGTGCTGTTTGTCCCTCCCTGCCTAGAGTCCTCTCTGATTGTAGCCTGGGATTCCTATAATTCACTGAGTCCTGAAGTCCCCCTTGGAAGTCACGGGTGGATCACAGAGAACTCCAGAAACCAGCCCAGCTACCTGATTTCCAGTTCAGCCCTTTCCTCATACGGAGTGGGGTTTATACTAGTAGTGAAAGTTTCTTTTGATTGTAAGACTGCTAATCGGTAGACTGGCAATTAGGTACTGCAGAGCGGTGTTCTGCAAACAATCCTGAGATTGAGGTGTCCTACCCCAGAGTGAAAGACAATAAATCTCCCCAGTTCTCAAGCATGGAAAACAGCAGCTGGATGAAATTATGCTGTTTTAATATTCAGTCAGTTTTTTCTTAAACATCAGTGTTTAAAGATGAGTGACATCAAGATAATCTTGAAGCACAAAAGGAGAAAACAGTAGTGACATTAACAGACAAAAACAGAGAAGACCATGAAGCTGGGCAGTAGTGAGCCCAATCTTCTAAATAGTAAAAATGCAATCAATAATGAGAAAGAAAGAAAGAACAGTCAATGAATAGCACTGCAAAAGAACCTAGAGACAACTTCACACACAGTAGGGATGTTTGAAAAATCAAGGCAGTATGATGAGCAAAATCATGATGATAAATTGAAAATGAGGTACCAAAACCAAGTCAGGGATCGGAAAACATAAACAAAGAGTGAAGACGAATCAAGGAGTGTGTCCCACCATCCATCAAACTGCTGCAGGGGGGACGCCATCAGAACATCAGGCCTATGGTCCAGAGGCTCCTCCGTCACAGAAACACGGGAGTATAAGCAGAAGCTATGCAAACCAGCTTTGTGGGAACCCTACACAACCTTTGAAGGTTTATGGCAACTAGAATAGGCCGAGTCAAGGAAAGCTGTCTTCAGAATGGCATGATGACGTGCATGTGGTTGATGGCCAGGAGGAGGGCAAGCTAGTTTCACTAGAGCCGGGGCTCTGCAAGATGGATCCTCACCAGCACCTCACAGCCTGGAGAGTGGACAGCCAGAGAGGTGGGCACGCTGTGTCAACTCTGAAGGGAGGCAACAGAAATAAAAGCGGATAAATGAGAGTATTTCAAAAGGACAGACATTATAACAAGTGTGCATATGCCTCCTGTGACTCAAAAAATAATGGTGAGATCAGTGTGAAGGAATGGGACCATGAGTGTGGAAAAAATGCAAATGTATAATAAGCCCATAACAAAGTGGTTAACAAAACTAACCACTGGGAAAATGTGAATCAGAACCCCACACCCATTATGATGCCTGCTACCCCCCCCACACACACACACACACCAAAAGTTAGGGGGAAAAAAGTGTTCAAGAAAATGTGGGTAATTGGAACCCTTGTATGTTGCTAAGGGAAATGTAAGTATTGTGGCTGCTAAGGAAAACACTGTGTTGAGTTACCATGTGACCCAACAGATCCACTGCTTGACATATGTATCCCACCCCAAATATGAATGATGAGCTCCTCAGGATGTGGATGTCTATAATTATAGCAGCATTATTTATTCACAGTGGCAAAAAGGTGGAAGCAACTCTAAATGACAGTTGATAGACAACAACAAGGCAAATACAGTGTGTCGGTATGGTGTCCAATCTCCTGCCCGCAAAAGGAGTCCTGATACCTGCTCCACGTAGACATTATGCCCAGTGGAATAAGCCAGGCACAGAAAGACAAATCCGTGCTAGCGATATCCCTGGGACAGAGACAGAACATGTGTTCAGGCTTGCCAGAAGCGACGGCAGGAAGCATGGGAGTGGCAAGTTGCTGTTTAGTGGATACAGAGATTTGGTTTGGGATCATGAGAAAGTTCTCAAGTTCCTAAGTGCTGGTAGTTGCACAGTATTGTCAACATGCTTTTAATGGCATTGAAGTGTGCAGTTGAAATAGCAAGCCAGTGAGCAGCACCCCTCCATGGCCTCTGTATTAGTCCTGCCTCCAGGTTCCTGTCCTGCCCGAGTTCCTGTCCTGACTTCCTTCAATAATGAATAGTGATGTGGAAGTGTAAGCAAAATAAACCCTTTCCTCACCGTGTTGCTTTTAGTCATGGCATTTCTTCACCCTACCTAAAACAGAGACATCCATCACCTAAGCACCTACTATTACAGGGTGAAGTTCTTGCCATAAATATCCCCCAGAGACTAGGTAATACCCATCCCACAGTGAAAAAGAGGAGATGCCTAACTAAATAAGTTTGTGTATATGACCACTGAACTTTCTTCTTTAATAAGCAAAGATAAAGCCTAGTACCCAGTGCTCTTGAGCTGGAACAGTATCATCAGCCACTAGCTACCAAGTTTTAGTTAAATATATTTGTCCTTCACGCCATAAAACATTAATGTTGGCAGCATGTTGGTTCCATACTTCAACCATAAGACCACATAGAAGTGTGGTTAGAAAACTGTTGCTTGAGTGCCAAAATCTACTAAAGAGCATGGTGGGTATGGGGCTTAGAGATTTGTGTTTTTGTTTTAAGAATGAAAGAGCTAAGGTGGGGCAGGGATAAGACAAAGAGAGGGAGGGCTGTTGCCTCAATTTCAAGGACATCTCTTGCATCATTCCTGCTTAAAATTCTTAGCTACACACTGATGACACAGTTGAGAGGAGGCAAAAGTATCAAGATCATGTACAACCTGGACTACAGAAAAGCCTATCTCAAAAAGCTGAATAATAATTGTGATAATGGCTATAGTTTTCCTACTGTCTGAAGCTGTTCTCTGTCCGTAGTTTACTTGCTGTCTAAAGGATTGGGGAAACAGGGCTTGTCATTTTTCTGACCTGCCTGTTTGACACTGATATGCAGTGTCCCCTTTCATTCACTTCCTTATATGGGCTCATTTCAGTTTCCTGCACTGTTCTCTTTGTTCCCTGCAAATCACATTGGACTTGACTGTTGTAACTACAACAGATCAGTCATTTTTATCACCTGGTTCTTCTTTCCCAATCTGTATTCCTGTGTTAGAGTCAATAAATTAATTTCCTCTTTTATAAAACTTGAAATTTTTGGTTATACTGAATTTTCAGATTAAGTAGGAAGATGCATCCTTTTGATAGGTTGGGGTTTTTTGTTGTTGTTTTTATTGTTTTGTTTTGTTTTGTTTTCCTGGCCTTATAAAATAACCCAGTAAGTAATCCATGTGTAAAACTGGAGTTCAAAGAGCTCATACAATCTGGATGGGAATTTAGCTGAATTACTTTATAGACCAGGTACAGAGAGCATATCTTCATCTGTGGCTCAAAACCCAGGTACAATTAAACAAAATGTCAATAGAATATAAACACATAAAGAAGACAATAGCTCTTACATGGCAAAAGTGTGTACAAAAAAAGAAAAAAGAAAAAGACATAACAACAAAAACATAATGCAGCAGGCATCACGACCAGCTCAGACAAAAGGATAAAGCGTAAGGCCTGCTTCACCATTGTACAGTAAACTAAATGGTGTGCCTATACTGACAAGCATTGTCTTAACTATATATGTGTATGTGCACACACATGTGTTCATAAGTACATATATATGCATCAAATGCTAGTTAATGTGTTTCCCGCTCTGAAGCCCACCAGGGAATCCCTCACCAACTTGTATATGGAAGTATATCTATACAGGAAGGTAGGGGGTAAATTCTTGGATATTTTCTTAAGCCAAAACTAAGATGAGCTTTTTTATTTCTCTACTTTCCCTTTATTTCTAGAGTGGACTCCCTTTTATCCCCTGTTCCACACAACCATCATAGCTGCCCATTTTTCATTAGCATCACTCTTCAAGGCCCTTCATTGTCTGACAATACAATTGTGATGGGAGATGCTGTAATGATTCTAATTAAACCTGTCAGCCAGTGGGTACCGACAGTCAACTGTGTTCCTTTTTCATCTTTATAGTAAGAAGACAGTTGTGCATAGTAAGATTCTTAGTATTGACAAAGGGTAGCATATCAATCATAACTTTTGTTCCTGTGACCAAAATCCTGAGAAAAAATGACATGAGCAGAAGGATGTATTGTAGCCCTCAGTTCAGCAATCTCAGCACATTGTTGTCTGGTTCTACTATTTAGAGGTCATGGGTGAGCAACATATCATGATTAAGGGTAAATACTGCAGAGCAAAGCAGCCTGTGGCAGCTGGGAAGCACTGGGAGAGAGGAGAAGGTACCAGGGCAAGATCTAACTAAGGACACACCTCAGACACCTGCTTCCTCCGCTCGACTCCACTTGTCAAGTTTCCAGCACCACTAAGTGGCCACTGAGCTATCAACATAAGCCCATGGAACATTACCTATCCCAGCATAGCAGAGGGACTGTGGCCAACTGTCACATACTCCTGACCAGCTACCTAACTCTGTCTGTGACCAGTTACATCTTATAGTATTCATGAAGTAATTACTTTGTTTTACTTTATTTCATTTTACTTTAAAAACCCAGTGGGATTATGAGCAGTTCTGAAACATCTAAGATGTTTAACTTATCATTTTATAAAAAGTAAAAAGAGATTACCTGTGTTATCAGCTATCTTAGTTACCTTAACTGTCAAGTTACCTTTTTTCCCCCTCTGTTTAGATTCCATTACCCAACACAAAGTCTGTGACTTTAACAACTACCAGTTGCTACAATGAGAGACATCTACCAGTTGCTACAATGAGAGACATCTCTGGCTGCTGTCCTCAACATGCAAGAAAACTAGCCATGGAGAGAAGGAGTCATCATACAACTTAAGGCCTGATGTCACACATTACTTCATGTGCTGTGTTTTTTTATCTTCACTCTGTGTGTGTGTGTGTGTGTGTGTGTGTGTGTGTGTGTGTGTGAGAGAGAGAGAGAGAGAGAGAGAGAGAGAGAGAGAGAGAGAGAGAGAGAGAGACTAGAGAGACTAGATTTAAATCCAGGACTTTTATCTTCAAAATTCTTTTATGTAACTTATTCATGACTCATATTGTAGTTCAGAGAAGTCTTGGCCGGCACCAGTCCTGGGCTCTGTGTATAATACTAATAATGACCATGATGAAAAGGTCACAGAACCTTTGTCTTCAAGATACTTTACTCCCAATTATAGAATGGAAATTGATTTAAACCATTTTGATCCTAAACAATCAAATGACCCCCTAACTTTCTTGGCTTGGACTCTGAGATCTTTATTAGTGTGCTGTGTCTAGATAAGGACAATCATGCATTATTAAGATAACACGTTTCTGAGATGCTTCTCGGAGCAATTAAGGAAGACTATGTGCAATGACTATGTCTGCCTTCTGAATGGCTACCCCAAGGTTCCCTACAGAAAGTCAGCTGCTGGGGCTGAATTATGTCAGGGGTGTCTAACCCATTGCCTATGTGTCATATTTGTCCAAGGATAACTATGAATGCGGCTAATACAAAAGTATAAACCTACTTAAAAGTATTATAAGATTATGTGTGTTTGTTTGTTGAGGGGTAGCTCAGTTGCTCAGTTCTTCTGAGTGAACTTTGTTAATGACCACATTGCATTGCAACATAAAAAAGCTGGACATATCAGGTTGGTCACTCTTCATTGTGTTAATGGGGTGGGGGTGTGTTTCTCTCTGTATAGCCCAGACTGGCCTGGAACTTGCTGATCTCCTATCCACATCTCAAATGTTGGGTTATAGTTATTGATACTACATTCTTATACTGTTCAAGCATCTAACAGAGATACTGAATCCCAGTAATCTTGAGGTTGTCATACAACTGTTCATTGTGGTTTTCTGCATTATGCTTGGTTGCTCGTGTCAGCTGCTGTTTCCAACTCATTAAGTCTCAACTCCACTTCCAAAACCTTGTCGTTTCAGAGATAAGCAATTGAATCATACAATATGTGAGTTTGTGGCATTGGCCTTTTTCACCATGTAATTCATGTTCTGATGATTCATTCATATCATGTGTGTCAGTAGACAATTCCCTTTTGTTGCCAAACAGTATTCTGTGGCATGGATATTCTACAGCTTCGTTATTCATCCCCTGAACAGAGCAAAGGAATGAAGCCCAGTGGGAATGGCCCTCTGAAATTTAAAGCAATTTGTGGTGTCCTGTTGTACTGGATGATCCAGCCATCCAAGCTCCTTGGAAGGAGTAGAGCAAATGAGAGTGAGAAAGACCCATTTATCATTGTCCCCCTCTTCTATAATTTGAATAATTCTGTTTTCCCTCACATATCCATAGCTTGAAGCCATCACTCCCAAATGGTATTAGGAGGCTTTAGAGAAGTGACCAGATAGATCATGAAGCCCTGCAAAGAGATTTGGGATAAGCCCTTTGCCTCTTCTACCACATGAGGATACACCAGGAAGGCGCCAGAATCAACAAAAATGGCTTGCCCAAACCATACCCTAGCTTCCTCATGCACCATGGACTTGGGAGTCTCCCACTTCTGTTGGTTATTAGGAAAGTGCCAACACCCAGTCTGTACCACACTGGAGCCCTGCAAGGGGGGGGGGTGTTAAGGGTGTTCACTGCAAAGAGTTCAGATGGAAATCAAAGCAAGACAGAAGGAAAGCATGTGTAAGTGTGTCAGTAGACAGGTGTCACAGGCGCACCATGATGGTATTCCCGTGCAGGCACCAGCTTAAAGTCATCGTCGAGCAAGTTGCTGTCCCCTCTCTCTTTGCATGTGTGAAACCATTAACCTGTTTGCTATTTTGTTGCACACAGCAAGTGGTAAGTCCTTGCTTCCTTATGTGACCTGATGCAGACCTGGACAATTAAATCCTTGGTCGACTGACTTCAGTCTCCAGTCCTTCACTCAGCCCACACTCCCTGGAGCTCATGGTTACAAAACACTCACCCTCTAAACGGGTAGTTGATCTTTGTGGCAACCAGCCCCAACCAGAAGCCATCTAGGGGCCATCATGAGGAGGTTCTCCGGCATGATTTCAGGATTCCTCAAGTTTTTTCTTGACTGATTTTTCTTGACAGTAAATGTAGTAAACTGGTTCAATGACCACTAACCCCTTTGTGCCATGATTCTTAATGTTAATGATTGAATTGGGTAGATTTTCAATTTTTTTCTTAACAATCTTTTGAGATTCTGCAGTTCAAGTTACTTTCATGCATCAGAACAAATGTAAAAGCCCAAAGATAAGCATCTCCTATGTGTCTGAATAAATAGAAAAGTCCCAAGCTGAGCATCTCCTATCTCTTTATTCATCAGAAGCCATTACTAGTTAACTTGAAGACATTAAGAAAACAGTTTTGAGAGTTAAACACCAAGGCTGACAAGGCTGGCCATGTGTACCTGTCCATTGCTGGTGGCTTGATAAACTGACATCATGTCTTGATTTTTTACATGTGGAAATCAAACCTAGCACCTCCTGCTTGCTGAACAAGCAAGCACTCTAACACTGGGCTATGTCCCCAGCCTTTGACATGATGACTTGAGGAAGCAATTTGTTAATCACCCTGGAAACAAAGGTATTTATGTCCTGGATCCATGCAATTTACTTGTAATAAAATCTTCTAAGAGAAGGAAAGTTACACATACTATGGACGATTAAATCCTTTCCTGGTGCTATGGTTAAAAAAAAAATTAAAAAAAGAAAACTCTGAAAACTCTGACATCAATTTTAGGGAGAAATGGTTTACTCTGCCACAGTACAAGAGTATAGTCCATCATTGGGGGAAGACAAGACAGCAGGAGCCTGAAGCAGCTGGCTACATGGCATCCCATCCATAATCAGGAGCACAGAGCAGTGGATGCTGCTCAATAAGGATCTCACCACCTTTCACCACTTACACAGTCAGGACCAGACCTAGGGAACAAAGCCATTCGATTCAGTGGATGCCCCTGCTCTTTTAACCTAATCAAGATAATCCACACAAGCATGCCCCCAAGGTCCAGCTCCCAGGAAATCCTACATTCTGTCAAGTTGACAACACTTACCATCACACCAGTGATGTTCACTATAGCAAACTCACCATCAAGTGTTAACTCAATGGATGCCCAGCAAAAAGAAACCATTTTTTTTTTTACTTTCTTTTTTTTTTCCCAAGAAATTATTTTTTATTAGTTCAGATTAGAAACAAGCCTGCTTCACATGTCATTCCCTTCTCCCTCTCCCTCCCCTTCTTCCCCACCCCCCACCAATCCCCCACTCTATACCCCTCTGCTCCCCAGGGAGGGTGAGGCCCTCCATGGGGGATCCCCAAAGTCTGTCAGATCATCCTGGGCAGGGTCTAGGCCCTCCCCCATGTGTCCAGGCTGAGAGAGCATCCCTCCACATGGGATGGGCTCCCAAAGTGCTTTCTTAGTCCAGGGATAAATACTGATCTACTACCAGAGGCCCCATAGATTGCCAAGGCCTCCTCACTGACATCCATGTTCAAGGGTCTGGACCAGTCCCGTTCTGGCCTCCCAGATATCAGTCTGAGGTCCATGTGCTCCCCCTTGTTCAGGTCAGCTGTTTCTGTGGGTTTCACCAGCCTGGTC